ACCTACGGTGTTTTATTCGTATTTTCAAGACACTTGAGATTTATTTGATATTTTTCGATACTTTTCGAGAACCATCGTGTGTTTTGCAGGACTTTAGAAATTTTTTGGCAGTTTTTCGTTTTCTGCCTAATATTTTGACATCCTCTCGATTTTTCGCGCCCTTCCTCATTTTATACGTAAAACCAAAGACAGTAGATTTTCTTATAATCACTATTTTTTTATAAAATATTATCAGGATTTCCTTAAGACTTTTGTTAACTCAATATATTTTTTTCAGGACCTATTGGATTTTACTGGATTTTTTTGTGGATTTCAGAAATTTTCGTGAATTTCCGCGTTTAAATCAGAACTTGTTTTAAGAGTTTAAACCTGATATTTTTAGTGCTTTTCATATTTTTTAGTTTTTTTGCGGGCTTATTTGGCATTTCCCGACCTACCATGTGTTACCCAGGACCTTTAGGTTTGTTTTGAAATCTCGAGATTATTGGCTTTTTTTTGTTGACCTACTGTAGTTCATTCATGGCTCAGGATTTTTCGGAATATTTTGGGACTATTCGAGTTCTAGTTCGAAACGATTTCAGATTTTCTTAGAAGTTTTTGACACTCGGGGCTTTTTGGAACCAATCTACTGGACCTTTTTTGTTGTAATCGGAATTTTTCAGTACTTAAACAAAATTCAAGAGTTTTTCGGTACTTTCTTCAACAAGTTTCTACTTTTTCGTAACTGTCAAGGCCCATTGCGTGGTAACATGTATGCAGTACGCGTTAACCTAACCCTATGTCACATTTCTGACTAAAGCTTAGTGTAAAGCTTCAAGAAAATCCAAAAATTCATATGAAATGACGTTCAATAAGTCGGAAAGAAATTTTCTTCTATCAAATGTTCTTGAATTAGTTTACACCTTTACACCAAACGCAAAGTACTTTTTCAGGCAACAGAAACATATGAAACATATTTCTTCAGATTTTTCTTGAGAGCTTTATATTAAGCTTAATGAGCTGAGACTCAGGCGGTAGTCTTTACAACTAAGGAGGCAGGGAATTACTTGATTAACTCTACCCTGAAACCAATCCATTGTAGCTGTTTTAAGACTAAATCTATAAGACTTATCTAGTAAATTTTTCAATAAAACGAAGTAGAGCATGCTGAGGGTATATGCTACACTACTTCAAGTTTCCCCTACTGGGTTCTTGCTGTCGTTCTGATGTAGCGAAAATTTCCATATTTCGTAGCATACATTTGGGTGTTGCTCCCCTAGTTACACAAAAAAAACTATGAAATTCTGCGTGTGATGTATGTTTTTATAAAAGCAGCCATGCAGTTTTATATTTACATATTTTCCAGCATGCTCCGCTATCAGTTTACCTTGAGCAGCAACAACACACACACACACACACACACACACATGCTATCAGGCATAGAACTTCCCCCATACGCAGCTTTTGATTGCGAATTTATTGACACTTACGTTATATCTTTAAAATAATAAATTTACCCTCTGTTTTCTTTTTTTAAGACTCTCTTGAAAAACTTTTAAGGGAAAAGTAGGAAATAGTTCACCCTCTTTAAAGGCATTTTCAATAGCTTTATATTGTCGAGCTTAAAAGTATGCAGTAAATTTAAATGTACCTTCGCTAAAGCCGGTAAATGTTGGCTTGCGAAATCGGAGAGCTATGCATGTATACTAGAGCTGAGTAGTTTGTTCGGAGCAAAATTTTCCAAGAAAGCGTATAGGAAATTCAAATTCTACGATTAATCCTATGTCAGCAAGTAAATTACAGGCGCAGAATCATCTAAGAAGAAGAAAAATGGTCAAAAATTCAAAGTAGCACCAAAAACTATGCAACATTAGCGTATATGTACAAGTAGTTCTCAAACGAGTTATGATATACATATCTTTTAAAGTCATCAGCTGTTGAAATGCTTTTCTAATGAGCTTTGTGGATCAGCGAGAGGAGCATCTATTCTTAGCCTGTTCCTAGTATTTGTAAATCTCAGCAGGCTTACGAAAATAGAAAGCTGACTTGGCATAAATATATATCACTCTAATCAGTTCAGGTCTCAAATGCAGATGCAAATGATTGCCTTCCTTCAGTCAGATACATAAATTACTACTTAATTACTCACTCGAGTGCAGCATTTAACTGTAAAATCACTTTCCACCTTACTAAGCAAAATCTCCTCCAAAACACTGTTGCTATTAATCTAACAATCTGCTTGGCCTATCGGTCATTGAAGGCCACCCACTACACCACTCATCAGCACTGATTCGACTAACTCAACGCTTTGTGAAACCCATGAAATTTGCTGCGTGCGTTTTTGTTATACGCTTTTTACCAGCTGCCTGCGTGTCGCATAAATCATGCAAACGTAAAAGTAGAAAAAAAATACAAACTCATTTAATATTTTAATTACATCAGCACCTGATGTGACCTTGCGGCAATGACATTGAATCAGATTTTTCGGCCATGAGCGAGTGTGGTTCTCTGAGAAAAGAGCAAATACTCAAATAAATCGCTTAAGCTCAAACTTTTTGTTGCTGTTGCTATATTTGTTTGCTACTCAAATCCTAAATGTTTTATTAGCGGTACAAAATTGTCAATTTAAAATTTTACAGGGTAATGAAATTACATAAATTGTTATCTAAATGGCAATGCATTGCAAAAGAAGGGGGAGTAAAGAATGGCGAATTGGAGAGGAATTTGTTTTCGGGATTAAGAGAATTTTATTCATCCATCCATCAGTGCAAAAAGGTAAAGTGAGTTTAAGCTCACTTTTCATGCATGAGATCCATTGTTTCGTCGTTGTCACGTACTCAGCTAGTCATATCAAAAACAATGACAGTTGTCATTGTCATAATGGTTAAAATCAAGCTTTGTAGCATATTTTTAGGCACAAGGGAATAGTAATTGGGGTAGGAATAGGGCTGTTAACCTCCAATACACATTCGCGGCTTTGCTAGCAAGCTAATGGTCCAACGTTCGATATAAGAAAGACTGTAGAGCACTAAGGAAACTGAGAACAGGAGCTGTAATAGCGCTAACGGAGATAATGACCAGTCCTGACTAATGTCGATATGGTGATTCTCGTAGATAACTGTAACTGACGTGTATCTGTGAACGACCAGTCAATACGAGTACTTTGCTGGCGGATCGCTTGGTAGATGGTTCGGTAGTTTGTGATAACGATAAAAGCTCTTAGATGCACTTCCAAATAGTTTGATGTCTTCAGGCAACGGTGAGAGTACTATTAAGAGCTGCAGTGGTGGGTAGTCCCGTAACTGAGACTGAGGCCTACCTGTGAAGAGTGCTGTGATATAGGCGGGTGCTATCACCTTATTCGCACACTAAGATAGTCATACGGTTGCAAAGAGCAGTGGGACAGAAACCCTCATACTTCTAACTCTTCTTCTGCGCACTACGCCATGAAGGTACTTATAACTAGTTAAGCGAATGGTATGGGTCGCGTGTATCGATCAGCATCTTCCCCCTACCTTACTAGAAAAATGGAGGGTTTGTCGTACCTAAAAGCGCAGCCCAACTACCTCAGCTTACCTACAAAGTGTTTTGGTGGCTTGCTCACTTCACGATATTTTATTCGATAGACCTTAAGAACAGGTAAAAATGTACAAAGATGAGCGAAAATAGTATTATGCGCTATTGGCTCGCCTTGTGCGCCACTCCCTGCCTACATTGGCAGTTGAGCAAATATCAGTATATACAAATGAAAATTCGGAAAGGACCCGAAAGATTTCCGAAATAACTGATAAAACTTCGAAAAATCCCAAATAATACGAATCATTTAATTCTAAAAAAAATCGAATAAAATAAATTAATTAAAACTACATATTTTTGGGCAGGCTGCGCTTTTTAAAACACATAATGCATCATTAAAGTAGGAGCCTAAAAAATATTAGAAACCGTCGCCCACCCTGGAACCACTTTTCCCATTAAATAAGTTTAAGTCGGTAAGCCTCCGCCCTGATCAATATTTCTCGCCCGGAGCATAATTTCCGCCTAGCTTCTCTTATTCCTCTCCAGTTTTCTTCACTAGACAGTGTTTTCTCTATAAAGTGGTAAACGCTAATTGGGTTTATCAAGCCGACGATTCAATCAGGGTGCGGCCTGGAGTCGTCATAGTTATATGCATTTGAATTTCGCTGTTTTTTTACATATTTTGCAAAAATTGTCTGAAGTACTCGTGACCAAATAAGAGCTACGTGGTGTAGTTTCGTCGAACTTTATGTTGACCCCGCATTCTAATACTGGTATTAAATAATCTAACTGTCGACTTCCCTCCCGTTTGACTGTTCTTGCCAATGTGTAAGCGAATGAAGCATGACAGAATAACAAATGACCATGAAGATGGCACAGCGCAGGAACCGGTTTGTCTCCAAATCTAATTTGACAAGGAATGGTGGAAAATCGTTTCACACTACATCGAAGCCTGACTCGTATTTTATTAGACTTGTACTCCTTTCTTCTCTTTGTTTTGTTAGATACCATAACCGTTTTATCTCTTGGGCTAGTAGTTCTATAGACGTCGTGCCGCTTACGACTAGTACAGCGGTCTCAGACACCGTAGGCTAAGCAGCGCCGACTCCAAAAGCACTGCACTGAGGATACAGTTTTTCTGTGATGGAAAGTCTCATGGATAGACTTGTGGCTATATTCTATCTGACACAAGCCAGAGGTTGAGAGTTCATGAATTTAGTGCACTTCAGCTGTGCCTACTTCATTCCAAGCTACATATGTATGTATGTACTTAATTTAAACACCAAATGAATAATTAAGCACTCACCTGTGTGTATTTTTCTGCGTTTTCACTGAAATTTAATATTTATTAGGTTATTAATGAGCGCCCAAATTGTTGAAAGGTTCACAAAAAAGAGCGTTGTACTAAATTTAGAATTTTTTTTTTACCTAAGTATTTACGTAAGTCCTTTGAAAGTATATAATTAATTTGTTTTGCAATTTTTGTTTCTCCTCTCTCTTTGCAGGCGAACGACTCATTCAGTATGCTAGTGAAAATCTAGTCACTGAAGTGCTAATACATCCTCAGTACAATACACTTATACAGTGTATGCGTAATTTGCTGAGTAGTTTTACACGGCATCGTCACATAATACACGCTGGCTATACGTTCTCTGGCAATGGTTCCTGGATATTGCAGGTAAGTCAAAATTTTAGTTAGCTTTGTTGGGGAAACCACTATTTTTTATAATTTGCGGCAAAATATTGAAAAATCAGAATCTTCTAAAAGCAAAAATATTGTGAAGAAAATTGACCGAGCACTCCTCTATGCATGTACATTAGTGTGGTTCAAAAATTGAAAAATATAATTTTTCGTTTTTCTAAATTTGTTTTGATTTTGCGAAGAACATTTACCGAGCGCTCCTCTGTACACGTACATTAGTGTGGTCCAAATATTGAAAAATATAGTTTTTTCGTTTTTCAAAATTTTTTTGATTTTGCGATGAAAATTTACCGAGCGCTCCTCTATACATGTACATTAGTGTGGTCCAAAAATTGAATATAATTTTTTGGTTTTTTAAATTTGTTTTGATTTTCGAGAATTTCATACCATTTCTGGGCTTTGAGCATTTCTAAATATATTTATTTTTCTCAAAAATACGAGCATTCTCTTTTACCATTTAGAAAAATCCTAAGGGGTGAGACACTTTAATTTTTTTTACCACCATAATGTACATACATACGTACAGGAGTATTTCCTACCTAACCCTCAACACATGATTTGATAACTATAACCAAATAGTATAACCATTACCAAATCATGTATTGACATAAATATATTTAGTTAACGTAACTAAACTCTTTTCTCAGTGTAGTAGGCTATTTAAAACGTTGATTTCACATTTTTTTCGAACTAAGGAAATAAGAAAGCAATAATTGTCTCTCGAATTAGCGATTTAAGATGGGTGGTCCACCAATTCAATGATTTGGCTGGTTCTTGGTGTAAAGAGTGGAGGCTTCAATGAAGCTACTCCAACTAATTCGGTTTAAGGGCCCACTAAACTCAGCAACATTTCCTCAGCTTTAGACTCGACTACAGGCCGGCTTCTGTTGTCTTGGTGCAAGCGGCTCTCTATATAAATGAGCAAGTTCAAAATTCTCCAACCAATAGGTGGTGCATTCGTTACTGGACCCGCAACCTAAAAACCAGATCCAATGGAATCCCCAAAATAGCTTCGGTTAATTACCCCCCTACCGCCCAATGTTTGCCGACCCACCACACGTAACGAGGACTACCCATTACGGACATGGGTTTGATGAATATACGTAACCTCCATAGGAAATATGCATCTATCGCACTGCTGGTTTGCTTAGAGAAAAACCTGGCTGACATCACCACAGTACAGGTAGCGCGATGGGCGGAGCATGATTGCTGGACGGCGCACAAATTTGTTGTGAGATTTGTAGTTTGGCGGAGACTTCGACAGCTGGTATCAAAGTTCACTTACATCAGTGAACGAATTGCCAATTCCGTCAGTCTCCATGACAACAACTCCGGCAGAGAGAGGAGAGAGGCGCATCGACTTCGTCGCAGGCAGGAACATAGTAGTTATTTATTAATGCCTTACAGCAGCATCGAAAGCTATATAAAAACATTTTGCTGTCCCATGATCAAAGAGAAGCGACCAAAGCTCGACGTCGAAAAGCTATAGAAACAAACCACATCCGAGAACTTTTGACTCTGAATCTCGGCTAGATAAGAAACTTCTCATAGATAAGAACTTCTCATTGACTCACTGACTCTCTTCGGACCGCTGCGGTTGGCTACTATCAACCACTTAGGAACAGCTTCCAAGCCACCCCGAAGCAGACTCCGTAGCATGCGGCAATTTTTTATAAGAAAAAAAGAAGGCAAAGAGCCACGAGTTTGAATATTTTGAAATGCTGACAGGCAGGTTTGTGGCACGATAATTTTCCAATCTCGATCTCTCGATTCGCTATATTTGCATCCCTTCGTTGAGTCTCTAGCAGAGATTTTTCTCTGACAACTGTCTTATGCTCAGAAATCCGTTTATCTTATGTAAGTCCAACAGAACTGGTACACCTTTGCTTCTCTACAGTCTATCAAGGATAGAGAGTGTGGATTTAACTGTGCTAAGTGGACTCTTCAATGGACAAATTTTAGCATGGTAAGTCAGTCGTTTCGGTTTGCTGTCCTGCAAAACCGGTTTACTTAAGAAATATAATTCAAACTGAGCATTTGAAAACACGTTAAAATACTTCGCCTCTAACTGAGTGTGCAGAGGTGCTTGTTATTATTTGTTGGCTTCCAGAAAGTCGCAGGATCGAAAGCCGTGAGCATGTTCACACGATAATAAACATTTTTGTTATGTACTTTCGAACCAAGAAACAGCATCTATGAAGTACAGAATGAAAGCGTATTCAAGCGAAAAATTCACCAAACAAAAATCTCTACAAAGCAGCAGTTTTGCACTTCCTCATGGAGTTCTTCCAGCTCTGGGCATGCCACGATATGGTTTATTTTTTCTCAGTGTTCCTGAAAGATATACTTTTATTCTTCTTGATAAACATGTTTAGTTTTTCAATCGAAGCTTGCTTAGCCCTTAAGACCAAGACTAGCCATGTTGCACTCAAGCGGTCCCACTGGTATCATAACCTAATAACCATCAAACACCTCGGTAGTGTAAGAGCGCAGACAACTTATTGAATATCTACCTGATAAACTCGTACGAATGGACAGAAACGCTCTAACTCTGAAATAATTCAACGAGGCCCGCGAAGCTAGTAACAGAGGAAGAGGAGAGCCTCTTGGCGGAAAAAGAGGATCTGCTGAACCTGCTCTAAGGAGCACAATACTGTTCCATTCGTACAACTGCCATAGAAATTGTTACAAAGGCCAGTACTATCTGGGCTCGCGATTACCGAATCATTAATGGTAGCTCTGAAACTGAATTGATTGCTGATTTTTCATTAGGTAAACTTTTCTCTTGAGTCCTCAGTAATCTTATCTTTTCTTTTTGCATCCACCGACCTCCTACACTTACAGCTATCTAGAATAACGGCAGTTTTCTTAAGTTAAATATCTACAAAATTCTTATACCACATCGCAAAATTTTTATTTTCCTTTTTCCATTCATTACTACCTTTCTGTCTTCTTCTTTCCAGGATGGAACCTTTTCCGTCTCCGACTTCTCGGAGGCATTTCAAGAGCACGACGTACAGCGCGTGCTACGCGCCTACGCCGATACGATCACAATGAATATTCATTGTGCCGATGCCGGTCACTGGCACAGCGTGCCACACAAAAGTTTTGCACGCCTCTGTAAAATACGTATTAATCCCGTGGACGTGCTGGATACAAGCAGTGAAGGTATCAACGCCTTTATTGGTAAGCGAATGGAAAGGAGGCTTAAACAAGTTCTTTATTTACACTAAACCAATATGTACTTTCTTCCTCCGCAGATTACCTGGCACCCATGCTTGTGCCTACTTCACTGCGTGAACTGCTTGAGACTTCAGATGTTGTGGGCAATATACGCTTTACACATCCTACACTTTACGTCTTCCCAGGTGGTCAGGGTGATGCTGCGCTCTTCGGCATCAATGGTTTTAATATGTTGGGTAAGTATCGTGTAACTTTGTTATACACTTTTCTAATTTCATTCACTCCCTCTCTCTCTTTCTAATCCCCAGTCGACGGCGGTTTCAACCGCAAGGCTTGCTTCTGGGATTTCGTACGCCACTTGGATCGCTTGGATGCCGTCCTCTTGACACGCCTTAACAACAGCAACATTCAGGGCATAAGTTCGGTGGTTTCGCGTAAGCGTGACGCTCACGTCTATCCACAAATCGGACATTTCTTCGGTAACGTGCCCGATCGCAAGGGTGGCCTGCCCAGTCCCGACGGTGATAAGGATCGCGACCCTCTTTTAGTTGATCTCTTCGAACATGGCCACAATTTAGTAAGTGATCTGAAGTCGCTGGACCTGAAGCCGCAAACCTGCTATCGCAATCAAGACCCTATCAATTTGTACCACAAAGTTGGCCATGGCACATTGGATATGTATGTGATCAGCCCCGCTCGCGATTCCAAAGAGGTTAAAGAGTTTTTAGCAAAATGGCACTCAGGCGATCAACGCTTATTCGCCGCGCGCGATTCGCGCGAGTTCAACTTCCCACTGCAGAACTTGGTGTCCATTTGTGCATTGCTTGTCTGGCAGCCAGCCAACCCAGATGACACCATTACCCGTATACTCTTCCCCGGCAGCACACCAGATTTTAAGATACAGGAAGGTTTGGAAAAGCTCAAGCATTTGGAATTCATGAAACACTCTACATGTACTGCCAAGTCTATTGCACCAACTATACAGACTGTGGTGACGACACGTAAGACATTCAAGTCCGCCATTGGAGCGCCTATCGAGCCGATGGGCGTACCGTCCAAAGCAATTGGTAGATTTGCGCCGGTTGCTGCAGCTGCCGTGGCTATACAGCAGGACAATAAAGCAAAAGAGGCCGCAGCCACTGCCGCCCAAGTAATAGAAGAGACCAAGATTGGAAAGGCTGAGGCTGAAGTCGAGAAGATTGGTCTGCAGAAGAAGGAAGACTCCGTGGACACTGACGAACCTGCCGCTGAAACCGGTGATGAGGCTGTACCTGAGCCGGTAGTTGAAGCAGAGAGCAAAGAGGAAGATAAACCGGATGGTGAAGCGGCTGAAGAGGATAACAAAGAGAAGGAGGCCGAAAGCGAGAAGAAGGTTGAGGTGGTTATAGTGAAGCCACAGCAACAAGCTGCACCACAAAAAGAGGAAACGCCAACACCCGAAGTCATTAAACCCAGCAAAGCCGGCAAGGGTAAACCTGACAAGCCACGTGCCGAGGTAAAGCCTGTAGTGCGTTCCCGCATCGATACCAAACCGCCGAAATCAATGGAGCGCAAGGGCCTTAGGAAGGATTTGACCGCGGATAAGAAGGCCTCACCAACTGCTACGCCACGTAAAGAGCCCGCAGCAACAAAACCGCGTGATGTTAAGCCGCGTGTAGTTACACGCGCTACCAAATCTAGCCCCAGCAGCACGCCGGCCAAGAGCGCCAAAGATGCTAACAATCGCAAGGTGCTCGAGTCCAAGCAACAAGCTACACGTCAGGCTACCAGCACCTCTACTACCACAACAACACGCCGCGAGACCACGCGTACCAGTGCTGCTGAACGCAAAGAGACACGTACCCAGCAACAACAAGTGCAGCAGCGTAAGCCAATTTCACGGCGGCCACGCGGTGCTTCGCCAACGAAGCGTGCACCTGGCAGTCCCATCAAATCAGTTAAACCCAAAGCGGATTTGAAAAAGTCGCGTTTGGACAAAGGTGGCACCACCGACTCCAGTTTGGTTTCCACGCCATCAGCCGATGAGGCGACTGCTGCCAAGAAGCTGCAGGACTTGACCGCCTCACAAGAACTCGACGCCGAAAAGCAACGCGAACTCGATGATCTGAAGGAAGAGCAAGAGGTCGTGCGGGAAATCGAAGCGGTCTTTAGCCGCGATGAAATGAAACGTCAGAAGCAGTTGGCTGCGGAAATGCGCAAGATCTCCAAGCAGGACAGCACTACTGAGGCCGAGGAGGAGGAAGAGTATCTGATAATTGAAAAAGAAGAAATCGATCAGTACACTGAGGACTCGATAGTAGAGCAAGAGAGCAGCATAACGAAGGAAGAAGAAATACAAAAGCATCAGCGCGATTCCCAAGAGTCGGAAAAGAAACGCAAAAAGAGCGCCGAAGAGGAAATCGAAGCTGCAATTGCCAAAGCTGAGGCCGAAGAGCGCAAGGCACGGCTAGAGGGTGCTGAAGCGGAGGCAGAAGCTGGAGAAGAGGAAGTCGATGATGAAGAGAAGGCTGCAGAACCTGAACACAAGATAACCATACCTGACAAGTCAGAGATTAAAGCTGAAGTACAAGAAATAATCACTGCAGCCAAAGATATAGTCACTACGCGCACTGAAGAACAAATTAAAGCTGAGGAAGAACTCTCCTCGCCCACGCATGAGGAAAAAATAAGCAGCGCTAAGAAAACTTCCGACACCAAAGATGAACCCATAGAACAACCTGAGATCCTACCTGCCAACCTACAAGAAAGTCTACCAGAAGAAAAGTTCTCCGCCACAATCGAGTCGGGCGCTACCACAGCGCCAACGCTTCCTGAAGACGAACGCATACCGCTTGATGAAATCAAAGAAGACCTTGTTATTGAAGAAAAGTATGTGAAGGAGGAAACAAAGGAGGCCGAGCATGCAGCTGGAGCTGAGGCTTTGGCCGCTAAGCCAACGGAACCCATTGTAACGGCAGCTGGTATTGTCATTGAGAAGGTCGCGGAGCCAGTAATTGTCGGTTTAGCCACTGCGGAACGTGTGCTACCAATGAAGATGACCTTCGAAGCTCAACAGAACCTCTTACGCGATGTGGTGAAGACTCCAGATGAAGTCGCTGACTTACCGGTGCACGAGGAAGCTGACTTGGGTGTGTACGAAAAAGACACTCAGGATAGTGGAAAGGTTATTTCACACAAAGAAGAAATTACAAAAGAGGAAAAAGAAGCTGAGGAAAAAGATACATATGAGGAGAAGGAAGTAGAAGTTGAAGAAAAAGAGGAAACCGAAGCGGAAGTCGAAGTCGAAAAAAATATTGCAGAGAAAAAGTCGTCCGCTTCACCCGCAGAAAAACCACCATCTCATTCAGAGAAAGTATTATCGCCTGCTAAAAAATCTGTTTCGCCAGCTGAGAAGCCACCATCGCCTTCCGAAACACCTGCATCCCCAGCTGAGGAGGCAGCTTCACCAGCAGAGCTACTAGCTTCTCCTACAGACAAGGCCCCATCGCCTGCCGAAAAATCCGTTTCTCCAGCTGTTACCATACCTTCGCCTGAAGAGAAACCTTCATCCCCTGCAGAGAAAACACTATCGCCTGCCGAAAAGACTGTATCCCCAGCTGAGAAGTCGGCTTCACCCGCAGAGCAACCAGCATCTCCCACTGAGAAGGCACCATCGCCTGCTGAAAAAGATGTGTCCCCTACTGAGAAGGCACCATCGCCTGCCGAAAAAGATGTATCACCAGCTGAAAAGGAACCTTCACCTGCTGAAAAAACTCTATCCCTAGCTGATAAGGCAACTTCACGCCCAGAGAAACCCGCATCGCCTACAGAGAAGGAGCCATCGCCTGCGGAAAAAGAGGTATCCCCAGCTGAGAAGGCACCTTCGCCTGCTGAAAAGGCTGCTTCACCCCCAGAGAGACCCGCATCGCCTACAGAGAAGGAGCCATCGCCTGCAGAAAAAGATGTATTGCCAGCTGAGAAGGCACCTTCGCCTGCAGAAAAAGATGTATCCCCAGCTGAGAAGGCACCTTCGCCTGCAGAAAAACCCGCTTCCCCAGCTGAGAAGTCGCCTTCACCCGCAGAGAAACCGGAATCCCCTACAGAGAAGGCCCCATCGCCTGCTGAAAAAGATGTACCCCCAGCTGAGGTGGAACCATCACCTGCTGAAAAGGCTGCTTCACCATCAGAGAAACCTCTATCTCCTACTGAGAAAGTACCTTCACCTGCCGAAAACGATGTATCCCCAGTTGAGAAGGAAAGTTCGCCTGCAGAAAAACCTGCTTCCCCTGCAGAGAAGGCATCATCTCTTCCCGAAAAAGACGTATCCCCAGCTGAGGTGGAACCATCTCCTGCTGAAAAGGCTGCTTCGTCTTCAGATAAATCTGTATCTCCTGCTGATGTACCTTCACCTGCCGAAAAAGATGTATCTCCAGCTGAGAAGGCACCATCGCCTGCAGAGAAACCTACATCCCCTACAGAGGAGGCACCATCGCCTGCCAGAAAAGATGTATCCCCAGCTGAGGTGGAACTATCTCCTGCTGAAAAGGCGGCGTCGCCTTCAGAAAAATCTGTATCTCCTACTGAGAAGGTAGGGTCACCAGCCGAAAAAGATATATCTTCAGCTGAGAAGGCACCTTCGCCTGCAGAAAAATGTGCTCCCCTTGAAGAGAGGGCACCATCGCCGGCTGGAAAAGATATATCCCCAGCTGAGAAAGCACCTTCGCCTGCAGAGAAACCTGCATTCCCTACAGAGGAGGCATCATCGCCTGCCTTAAAAGATATATCACCAGCTGAGAAGGATGCTTCTCCTGCAGATAAGGCATCATCTCTTTCAGAAAAAGACGTATCCCCAGCTGAGAAGGAACCATCTCCTGCTGAAAAGGCTACTTCACCCTCAGAAAAAGCCGCATCTTCTACAGAGAAGCCACCATCGCCCTCTGAAAAAGCTCCTTCTCCAGCTGAGAAAGTCACTTCACCCGAAGAAAAAACAGCTTCACCTACCAAGAAGGAACCTTCCACTGTCACAGAAGAGACAGCTGCAAAAGAATCGCGCAAGTCGACAAGCACACCTGAAGAAAAGGGGGGCAGTGAAGTTACATCTGAAGATGAATTACCTGCCCATGTACTTGCAGCTATTGATTCCACTAAGCCCAAGGATCTAGAGGACACTGTCTCCATCGATAGTCCTGCGACTATTGAAGAAGCTATTGAGGTGGAAATGCAGAAGTCCCTACAAGCAAGCAGAAAAGCCTCACAAGAAATCAAAGAAGTTCAGGCTAAATCAGAATCTCGTAAAGCGTCTGTTGTATTAGATCAGGATGAGAAGAAAGGGGTAAAACCTACTCCCTCACCAAAAGAAGCTTCCACATTTGAAAGTAGCATTGATGAAAAATCACCAGCAGCATCAGATGGAACTTCTCGTAGGGCATCTGCGGTAACGGATGAAAAGTCCGCGCTTCCATCGGCCGAAGCTTCACGTCGAGAATCTGCTGTTGAGAGTGTTAAAGATGAAAAGTCTGCGGCTACCTCCAAAGAACCATCGCAATCTGGCTCGATTCCCGAAAGCGTTAAAGATGACAAATCGCCCACCGCGTCGAAGGAGGTTTCAAGGCCGGAGTCCGTTGCTGAAAGCGTTAAAGATGAAAAATCAGCTCCCGTATCTACGGAAGCCTCTCGGCCAGCTTCTGTTGCTGATGAAGCTGATAAATTAGAAGCGGAGACTGTGTCATCTCCTGTTGACACAGCTCCAGTTAAGATTGATCCATCCGCGCTTACACTAGACCTAGAAGTTGTGAAAAGCGATGCCAAACTGCCAACGTCGTCTAGTCCGGTTGACGTAGCCGAAGGCGATTTCCCCGAAGTTAAAGAGACATCCACTGAAAGTAAAAAAGTTCCCGCAGAAGACACTGCTGTTTCAGGTGCAGAAACAGTTTCTACACCAGTAGACGAAGCAAAAGATCTCAAAACTGACACTGCTTCCATGGTTTCGCGTCCTGAAAGCCCTGAAGGAGAAAAGTCACCAGCCATCACCAAAGACAGCTCCCGAGGACCATCTGAGGATACAGTTCCAGAAGAGAAAGTCAAGCAATCTCCTGTGGTCGTTAAAGAGGTATCGAGTGTCGATGACGTCAAAGAAGAAATATCTCCATTTACTTCGAAAGCAGAATCTGCCACTACGAGCGTCAAAGATGAGAAGTCGCCAGTGGCTTCAAAATCGGATTCTGCTGTTGCGAGCGTGAAGGATGAGAAGTCACCTGTCGCATTGCAGCCAGAGACCGCTGATGCGAACGTCAAAGATGAAAAGTCGCCAGAGGCTTCGACAGAAGTTTCAAGGCCTGAATCAGTTTCCGTTAGTGAGAAAGATGATAAATCTGCTCTTGCCTCAAAAGAACCTTCCAGACCAGAATCTGCCGCAACGAGCGTAAAAGATGAGAAGTCACCAGTGGCTTCAAAACCGGAATCTGCTGCTGCAAGCGTTAAAGATGAAAAGTCGCCAGAGGTTTCGAAAGAAGTTTCAAGGCCTGAGTCCGTTTCCGAGAGTGTAAAACAAGATGAATCTCCTCTTGCTTCAAAAGAGCCTTCTAGGCCAGAGTCCGCTGCCGAAAGCGTCAAAGATGAAAAGTCACCAGTAGCTTCAAAACCGGAATCTGCTGCTGCGAGCGTCAAAGATGAAAAGTCGCCAGGGGCTTCAAAACCGGAGTCTGCTGCTGCGAGCGTCAAAGATGAAAAGTCGCCTGTAGCTTCGAAAGAAGTTTCGCCACCCGCTTCTGCTGCTGAGAGTGTAAAAGAGGATAAATCTCCAATCGCTTCGAAAGAACCTTCACGACCCGCGTCTGCTGCCGAAAGTGTCAAAGATGAAAAGTCACCAGTAGCTTCGAAAGAAGTTTCGCCACCCGCTTCAGCTGCTGAGAGTGTAAAAGAGGATAAATCTCCAATCGCTTCGAAAGAACCTTCAAGACCCGCGTCTGCTGCCGAAAGTGTCAAGGATGAAAAGTCGCCTGTGGCTTCAAAACCGGAGTCTGCTGCTGCTAGCGTCAAAGATGAAAAGTCACCAGTAGCTTCGAAAGAAACATCCAGGCCGGAATCCGTCGCTGAAAGTATCAAAGATGAAAAATCCCCAATCACCTCTAAGGAAGTTTCTCGTCCCGCATCTGTTGCAGAAAGTGTGCAAGATGAAGCTGATAAAGGGGAAGCCGAAACCGTTTCGTCCCCAGTTGATAAAGCCCCAACTAAGATACAACTAGAAGAACTTTTGCTAGAAAAAGTTACACCCGAAAGCAAACTTCCAACAACGTCAACTCCAGTAGATGTTGCCGAAGGCGAATTCCCAGAGACTAAAGAAAAAACTGTCGAAACAAAACAAGCTCCCGCAGAGGAAGCAACTGTCGGTAGTGCAGAAACAGTATCAACTCCAATCGATGAAGCGAAAGAGCTAGTTGCAGAGCCTTCCGAGGTAGCACCACGTCCTGAAAGCCCTGAAGTTGCAAAATCTGCAGCAATCTCCAAAGAGAGTTCCAGACGACCTTCAGAAGGGGAAGTTAAGGAGGAGCGGGACTCAAAACCAGGATCTGACGCGACGAGGATAAAAGATGAAAAATCACCAACCGAAACAAAGGAAACAACTCCAGCCGCTTCCGTCGCCGATAGCTTGAAAGATGAAAAGTCTCCAACTGCTTCCAAGGAAACCTCCCGTCCAGAATCCGTGGTCGAGCATGTGAAGGACGACAAGTCGCCAATCACTTCCAAACCAGCATCTGCTGCCGAGAGTGTCAACGATGAGAAATCGCCAGCTGCTTCCAAGGAATCCTCACGACCAGAATCAGTTGCCGAGAGTGTAAAAGAGGAAAAATCGCCACACGCTTCTGCTGCCGAGAGCGTAAAGGACGAGAAATCTGCAGACGCTTCCCAGGAAGCCTCGCGACCAGTTTCCGTCGCTGATAGTTCCAAAGACGACAAGTCGCCAATCGCTTCAAAGCCGGCCTCGGCTGCTGAGAGCGTTAAAGATGAGATATCAGCAGCTGCTTCCAAGGAAGTTTCACGACCAGAGTCTGTGGCGGAAAGTGTGAAGGATGAGAAGTGGCCAATTGCTTCCAAGCCAGCGTCCGCGGCCGAGAGTGTGAAGGACGAGAAATCCCAAGCTTCTTCCAAGGAAGCCTCACGCCCAGAGTCCGTAGCCGGAAGTGTAAAGGACGACAAGTCACCAATTGCTTCCAAACCGGCGTCTACAGCCGAGAGCATGAAAGACGAAAAATCTCCAGCTGCTTCAAAGCCGACGTCCGCTGCAGAGAGCATGAAAGACGAGAAATCTCCAGCTCCTTCCAAGGTAGCCTCACGCGCAGAGTCAGTAGCGGAAAGTGTAAAGGATGACAAATCACCAGTCGCTTCCAAAGAAGCTTCTCGACCAGAATCCGTTGTTGGTAGTATTAAAGGTGACAAATCACCAATCGAGGAGGAAGAAGTCGAAACTGAATCAACTCCCGTTGACAAAGCGGCAATTAGGATGGAAGATCTTCAATTAGCATTGGATATGGAAAGTGCTAAACTAGAAGTTAAGCTGCCAACTAAATCAACTCCTGTAGATGTGGCTGATGGTGAGTTTCCTGAGGCTGTAAAAGCCACAGGCAAACTCCAAGATGACACAAAGGCACCTGCGGAAAGCGCTGCACTCAGTGTTACGGAAACTGTCTCGAGTCCGGTGGACGAAGCTAAGGACTTAATTGATATTGGCGCAGATGCAGAAGAAGCCGAAAAAGAAAAGGTCGCGAGTGTAGAAGACGAAGTTAAGGCTTCAGTGGCAGATTCTATCAAAACCTCGATGGAAGTTGCTGAGGGAGTAGAAGAAAAGGTAGAAACTGACATCGGCGAGGCTGTCAAGATAACCGAAAAAGATGTGGTCGATGAATCTGTGAAGACTGTAGATGAAGTAACCGAAATGGGTAAACGCAAAGCAGAGACTGTGCTCGAAGAAGTAACAAAGACAATCGAAGCTTTAAAAGAAGCAGTTGAAGATAAGGCAAAAATGGCGACCGTTGAATTTATTAGCAAAGTCGACGAAATCAGTGAGAAACCGGAAGACAAAACCACAGCTGACGTTGATGAAGTGATCACAACCATTGAAGAAGCTAAGAAAGAAGTTGAAGAAAGCACCAAATCTATAGCTAAAGAACTGGTTAAGGAAATAGAAGAAGAGACAGAAAAAGTAGAGGAAAAAACCAAATCTGTCGCTGAAGAGGTAACCAAGAAAGCCGAAGAAGGAGCACAAAAACTGGACGAACTTACAACAACTGCTGGCGAAGTGGTTGCAAAGGAAGAAGAAGAAATAACTGCAAAAGTAGAGGACTTGAAAAAATCTGCTGAAGAAAAAGGTAAAACAGTAGTCGAAGAAATTTCGCAGAAGGTTGAAGAAGTAACTAAAGCAGTAGAAGACGTGAAGCAAGTCGCCGAAGACATAACTACCTCGGTAACCAAGGAAGTCACCGAGAAGGTAGAAGAAGTTTCGAAGGCCGTTGAAGACAAAATAACACCAGTTTCTGAGGCAGTAATAAAAACCACTGACGCAGTGTCTGAGAAGCTTGAAGAGGTAAAAGCACAGGCGACGGAGGAAGCACAGGCGGCTGAGAAAGAAATCATTGCGGAGGTGGCTGCCGTAACCATGACAATTAAAGATATCCAAACGACAGCAGCTGACAAAGTTAAAGCAGCAACAGAAAAAGTTGAAGAAGTGAAAGAAGCTGCGGAAGAAAAAATGAAAAGCGTCACCGAAAGTGTGAGCAAGCTCATAGACGACACGCAAGAAACCACAGAAGAAGTAACGAAACGCGCTAGCGCCGCTATTGATACCGCGAAATCCGATATTTCCGGTGGCATTAGCGGTTTTTTCGAGGACGTCAAGAGCAGTATTTTTGGTACAGCGGAGAAGAAACAAGAAGAGCCAAAAGAGGTCACAGAAGAAATAACAAAATCCGAGAAAGTAGAACTCGAGTCGGTGCCGCCATCTTCCAAACTACCACTCGAATTGGGCACATTCTCGACCGAATTGCGTGAAACACACATAACTACGGTAGAATCCCCAGAGTTCAAGGTGACACTTACTGAGCGCGATGAAACCATTTTGCATGATATCAAAGAAGAAGATGAGGAGCATAGGGTTTCGCCACCAACGACCAAACCAGCATTGGAAATGGAGCAGCCACTGCGACCGGTGTCACCACGTGAAGTAGAGGTATTCAAGATTGTAGCCGATGTGGCGAAGGTGCTGAAGTCCGAGAAAGACATCACTGAAATTATACCCGACTTCGATGAGCAAAAGTTAGAGCAACGCCTTAAAACACCAGAAGAACAAGAGCAAGAAAGTGCTACTGTTCAGCGTATGTTGGTAACGGCCAGCAGCGAAGATGGCGGAGAGGAAATAGACATCTGTCCTAAGGGCAGCATAGTTTTTACACCAACAATGGTTCCCGAAGCGATAGCAGAAAAGACCTCACCCATCAAACCACTTGACATCGATTATAAACACTTCCAAGAAGATGCAGCCGCTGACGATTCAGAAAAGTCTTCCCCTGAATTGCGTTCTGGGCCCATTTCTATTGAAGAAAAGGATAAAGTAGAAGAGTCAGAAAAAATGTTGCGCAAAGTTGCTGAAACTAAAGACGCTACTGAAGTTGTCACTATTGATATCACAAAATCTGAAAAGGTTGAAGAAACCACTGTTTCAAAACCAGAATCAGTTGTCGCCACTACCAACGGCAAGAAAGAGGAGAAGTCATCAGCTCCATCCAAAGAATCCTCAAGACCAGAATCGGTTGCAAGCACCAAAGAAGAGAATATTGAAGACAAAGAGGTGGAAACTGCAGCATCCCGCAGAACGTCGATTGTTTCTACAGCCGAAAGCAAAAAGGATGAAAAGTCTTCAGCTACATCCAAAGAAACCTCACGACCTGAATCCGTTGCCAGCACCAAAGAAGAGAATGTTGCAGAGTCTGTGGAGTCTCGGCGGGAATCAGTACTCTCGACTGCTGAAAGTAAGAAGGAAGAAACCGCAGAGTCTCGCCGAGAGTCAGTTCTTTCTACTGCTGTAAGCAAAAAAGATGATAAATCTCCAGCTTCATCCAAGGAACCCTCACGACCAGAATCTGTTGCTAGCTCCAAAGAAGAGCAGATTGAAGAGTCCGTCGAATCTCGGCGGGAATCAGTACTCTCGACTGCTGAAAGTAAGAAGGAAGAAACCGCAGAGTCTCGCCGAGAGTCAGTTCTTTCTACTGCTGTAAGCAAAAAAGATGATAAATCTCCAGCTTCATCCAAGGAACCCTCACGACCAGAATCTGTTGCTAGCCCCAAAGAAGAGAAGATTGAAGAGTCCGTCGAATCTCGGCGAGAATCAGTAATCTCGACTGCCGAAAAAAAGAAGGAAGAAGCGGCAGAGTCTCGCCGAGAGTCGGATCTTTCTACTGCTGAAAGCAAGAAGGACGATAAGTCTCCAGTCCCATCCAAGGAACCCTCACGACCAGAATCTGTTGCTAGCTCCAAAGAAGAGAAGATTGAAGAGTCCGTTGAATCTCGGCGGGAATCAGTACTCTCGACTGCTGAAAGTAAGAAGGAAGAAACCGCAGAGTCTCGCCGAGAGTCGGATCTTTCTACTGCTGAAAGCAAGAAGGACGATAAGTCTCCAGTCCCATCCAAGGAACCCTCACGACCAGAATCTGTTGCTAGCTCCAAAGAAGAGAAGATTGAAGAGTCCGTTGAATCTCGGCGGGAATCAGTACTCTCGACTGCTGAAAGTAAGAAGGAAGAAACCGCAGAGTCTCGCCGAGAGTCGGTTCTTGCTACTGCAGAAAGCAAAAAGGACGATAAGTCCCCAGTTCCATCCAAGGAACCCTCACGACCAGAATCTGTTGCTAGCTCCAAAGAAGAGAAGATTGAAGAGTCCGTCGAATCTCGGCGAGAATCAGTAATCTCGACTGCCGAAAGTAAGAAGGAAGAAACAGCAGAGTCTCGCCGAGAGTCGGTTCTTTCTACTGCTGAAAGCAAGAAGGATGATAAGTCTCCAGCTACATCCAAGGAACCTTCACGACCAGAATCTGCTGCTAGCATCAGAGAAGAGAAGATTGAAGAGTCCGTCGAATGTCGGCGAGAATCTGTACTCTCGACTGCCGAAAGCAAGAAGGAAGAATCTTCAGAGTCTCGCCGGGAGTCGGTTATGTCTGCCGCAGAAAGCAAGAAAGACGACGAGTCTCCAGCTCCATCAAAGGAACCCTCACGACCAGAATCTGTTACTAGCACCAAAGAGGAGAAGATTGAAGAGTCGGTCGAATCTCGGCGGGAAACAGTACTCTCTATTGCCGAAAGTAAGAAGGAAGAAACCACAGAATCTCGCCGAGAGTCGGTTCTTTCTACTGCAGAAAGCAAGAAGGGCGATAAGACTCCAGTCCCATCCAAGGAACCCTCACGACCAGAATCTGTTGCCAGCACTAAAGAAGAGAAGGTTGAAGAGTCCGTTGAATCTCGGCGGGAATCAGTACTCTCTACTGCTGAAAGTAAGAAGGAAGAAACCGCAGAGTCTCGCCGAGAGTCGGTTCTTTCTACTGCAGAAAGCAAGAAGGACGATAAGTCCCCAGTTCCATCCAAGGAACCCTCACGCCCAGAATCTGTTGCTAGCACTAAAGAAGAGAAGGTTGAAGAGTCCGTTGAATCTCGGCGGGAATCAGTACTCTCTACTGCTGAAAGTAAGAAGGAAGAAACCGCTGAGTCTCGCCGAGAGTCGGTTCTTTCTACTGCAGAAAGCAAGAAGGGCGATAAGTCTCCAGTCCCATCCAAGGAACCCTCACGACCAGAATCTAATGCCAGCACTAAAGAAGAGAAGGTTGAAGAGTCCGTTGAATCTCGGCGGGGATCAGTACTCTCTACTGCTGAAAGTAAGAAGGAAGAAACCGCTGAGTCTCGCCGAGAGTCGGTTCTTTCTACTGCAGAAAGCAAGAAGGGTGATAACTCCCCAGTTCCATCCAAGGAACCCTCACGCCCAGAATCTGTTGCTAGCACTAAAGACGAGAAAGTTGAAGAATCCGTTGAATCTCGGCGGGAATCAGTACTCTCTACTGCTGAAAGTAAAAAGGAAGAAACCGCAGAGTCTCGCCGAGAGTCGGTTCTTTCTACTTCTGCAAGCAAAAAAGATGATAAATCTCCAGTTCCATCCAAGGAACCCTCACGACCAGAATCTGTAGCTAGCACCAAAGAAGAGAAGATTGAAGAGTCCGTTGAATCCCGCCGGGAATCAGTACTCTCCACTGCTGAAAGTAAGAAGGAAGAAACCGCAGAGACTCGGCGAGAGTCCGTTCTTTCTACTGAAGAAAGCAAGAAGGACGATAAGTCTCCAGTGCCATCCAAGGAACCCTCACGACCAGAATCTGTTACTAGCACTAAAGAGGAGAAGATTGAAGAGTCGGTCGAATCTCGGCGGGAATCAGTACTCTCGATTGCCGAAAGTAAGAAGGAAGAAACCACAGAATCTCGCCGAGAGTCGGTTATTTCTACTGCCGAAAGCAAGAAGGGCGATAAGTCTCCAGTTCCATCCAAGGAACCCTCACGCCCAGAATCTGGTGCTAGCACTAAAGAAGAGAAAGTTGAAGAGTCCGTTGAATCTCGGCGGGAATCAGTACTCTCTACTGCTGAAAGTAAGAAGGAAGAAACCGCAGAGTCTCGCCGAGAGTCGGTTCTTTCTACTTCTGCAAGCAAAAAAGATGATAAATCTCCAGTTCCATCCAAGGAACCCTCACGACCAGAATCTGTAGCTAGCACCAAAGAAGAGAAGATTGAAGAGTCCGTTGAATCCCGCCGGGAATCAGTACTCTCCACTGCTGAAAGTAAGAAGGAAGAAACCGCAGAGACTCGGCGAGAGTCCGTTCTTTCTACTGAAGAAAGCAAGAAGGACGATAAGTCTCCAGTGCCATCCAAGGAACCCTCACGACCAGAATCTGTTGCTAGCACTAAAGAAGAGAAAGTTGAAGAGTCCGTTGAATCTCGGCGGGAATCAGTACTCTCTACTGCTGAAAGTAAGAAGGAAGAAACCGCGGAGTCTCGCCGAGAGTCGGTTCTTTCTACTGCTGCAAGCAAAAAAGATGATAAATCTCCAGCTTCACCCAAGGAACCCTCAGGACCAGAATCTGTTGCTAGCACCAAAGAAGAGAAGATTGAAGAGTCCGTTGAATCCCGCCGAGAATCAGTACTCTCGACTGCTGAAAGTAAGAAGGAAGACACCGCAGAGTCTCGCCGAGAGTCGGTTCTTTCTACTGATGCAAGCAAAAAAGATGATAAATCTCCAGTTCCATCCAAGGAACCCGCACGACCAGAATCTGTTGCTGGCACCAAAGAAGAGAAGATTGAAGAGTCCGTCGAATCTCGGCGGGAATCAGTCATCTCAACTGCCGAAAGTAAGAAGGAAGAAGCGGCAGAGTCCCGTCGAGAGTCGGTTCTTTCTACAGCAGAAAGCAAGAAGGACGATAAGTCTCCAGTTCCATCCAAGGAACCCTCACGACCAGAATCGGTTGCTAGCACCAAAGAAGAGAAGATTGAAGAGTCCGCTGGATCACGGCGGGAATCAGTACTCTCGACTGACGAAAGCAAAAAAGAAGAATCCGTAGAGTCTCGCCGGGAGTCGGTTCTTTCTGCTGCTGCAAGCACGAAGGACGACAAGTCTCTAGCTCCATCCAAGGAACCCTCACGAGCAGAATCTGTTGCTAGCACAAAAGAGGAGAAAATTGAAGAGTCCGTTGAATCACGGCGGGAATCAGTACTCTCGACTGCCGAAAGCAAAAAGGAAGAATCCGCAGAGTCTCGCCGGGAGTCGGTTCTTTCTACTGCTGAAAGCAAGAAGGACGACAAGTCTCCAGCTCCATCCAAGGAACCCTCACGACCAGAATCTGTTGCAAGCACTAAAGAAGATAAGGTTGAAGAGTCCGTCGAATCTCGACGGGAATCTGTACTCTCGACTACCGAAAGTAAGAAGGAAGGTAGTGCTGAGTCTCGCCGAGAGTCGGTTCTTTCTACTGCTGAAAGCAAGAAGGACGACAAGTCTCCATCTCTATCCAAGGAACCCTCACGACCAGAATCTGTTGCTAGCACTAAAGAAGAAAAGGTTGAAGAGTCCGTCGAATCTCGACGGGAATCAGTACTCTCGACTGTTGAAAGTAAGAAGGAAGAAACCGCAGAGTCTCGCCGAGAGTCGGTCCAATCTACTGTAGAAAGCAAGAAGGACGACAAGTCTCCAGTTCCATCCAAGGAACACTCACGACCAGAATCTGTTGCTAGCACAAAAGAGGAGAAGATTGAAGAGACCGTTGAGTCACGGCGGGAATCACTACTCTCGACTGCCGAAAGTAAGAAGGAAGAAACCGCAGAGTCTCGCAGAGAGTCGGTTCTTTCTACTGCTGCAAGCAAAAAAGATGATAAATCTCCAGCTTCATCCAAGCAATCCTCACGGCCAGAATCTGTTGCTAGCACTAAAGAAGAAAAGGTTGAAGAGTCCGTCGAATCTCGACGGGAATCTGTACTCTCGACTACCGAAAGTAAGAAGGAAGAAACCGCAGAGTCTCGCAGAGAGTCGGTTCTTTCTACTGCTGCAAGCAAAAAAGATGATAAATCTCCAGCTTCATCCAAGCAATCCTCACGGCCAGAATCTGTTGCTAGCACCAAAGAAGAGAAGACTGAAGATTCCGTCGAATCTCGGCTGGAATCAGTACTCTCGTCCGCCGAAAGTAAGAAGGAAGAATCCTTAGAATCTCGCCGAGAGTCGGTTGTCTCCACTGCAGAAAGCAAGAAGGATGATAAGGCTCCAGCTTCGTCGAAAGAAACTTCGCGGCCAGAATCTGTTGCCAGCACCGAAGGAGAGAAAGTTGAAGAATCTGTCAAGTTTCGGCCTGAATCAGTACTCTCAACTGTCGAATCTAAGAAGAAAGAAACCGCAGATTCTCGCCGAGAGTCGGTTATTTCTGCAGCTGAAAGCAAGAAAGATGATAAGTCCCCAATTTCTTCCAAAGAATCTTCTCGACCTGAATCCAGCCACGTAAGCGCCAAAGAAGAAAAGATGGAGGAAGCGGTTCAATCACGCCCTGCATCAGTTCAGTCCCCTGTTGAATCTATTAATATTGACAAAACAGCAACGGCGCCAAAAGAAGTTTCTCGTTGCGAGTCAGTCGCCAGACATGCTAGTATAACGGAAGAGAAAGTGGTAGAGTCCGCGGGGTCAAGTGCGCAAAGTCATAAAGAAGAATCAGTAGAGGCCCGAATACAAATAGTTAGCGAATCAGCCGCCATTCGCCTGACTGAAGAGCATGGCGAGTCTAAATCTAAGGTGGCAACAATAACACAGGAAACTTCTGAAGCCATTTCCAGTTCGAGCCAAACCTCCGGTATTCAAAAGAAAGCAGATTCCTTTAAATTAGCGCACACACTATCTTCTTGTACAGAGGCATCGACAGTTGTGAGCAAATCTATTGACTCCTCAGTGCGTACCCAACTACGGCAGGAATCTCACAGCGAATCAGTGAGTAGTGTTAAGGTGGAAGATAGTTCATCAAGAGAATCGCTTATCAGTTTTGCAACCGAGAAGGAAAGTAGTCGAACTGCTGAAGAGAAAAAATCTGAGGAATCTCTAGTCAAGACTGTGAAAACAGAATTCGTTTCCCAGACTGAAGATTTGATGACACATTCGGAGGAATGTTCGTCGGAATCCGTCGTAAGTGAAATTCAGACAGACTCACACTCTTCAAAGACAACTGCCAAGCAAAGTAGTACCGCAGAACTCGACAGCAAAGAAAGCTTAAAAGAGACCGTTGCTGAATTCCTAGCAACCGAGAAAATCATCTCGACCAAGGAGAGCTTAGTAAGCGATGCAAAAACTTCAAAATCTTCGGATGAAAGTCTAGAGAAGACTACTGCAAGCGCTACAGTCAAGTCCACCACCGCATCGCGTAGAGCATCCGATTTTGCGGCCAGTATAAAAGACAGCTCGAGAAGAGGGTCCGAATTCAGTCAAACGAGTGACGGACGAAACACGCATAGCGATCACGAAGACGATGATAAGGATGACGGCGTAGTTAGTGTGAAAGAGGGGCGTTCCAAGTCTATAGCCACAATAATGATGACTAGCATCTATAAGCCATCCGAGGAAGTAGGAGCATTTGAGAAACTAGAGGAGGAAAGTGAAGAGCATGCAGAATCCGTGGAAGAAATCAAATCATCTATCACGACAACCACACATAGTCAAGTGCTGAGGTCCAGCGAGCAGGTTAGCTCAGCTAGCTCGGAGCTCAAGTCAAAGACATCAACACAATTGGATACCATAATACTTACACAACCACTGGGGAGCGATCCGAAAACTCCACCCACTGCGCCAGTGAGTCCAGGCATAAGACACTCGACAACATGCGCCAGCACAGCCACAACCACAACGTTGAGCGAAACGTGCGGCAGCAGCGCGGCGTCTGTGAGCGGTCCCCTATCACCAAAAGATTTTAGCGGTAAGTCCAGTCCAGGTGCACTTACCTCTGAGAGTCAATCAATACCGACACCAAAAGGTCGCGGTTCCTTTTCAGATACATCCGAGTCTTCACCCAAGCCTACTTCGCCATTTCCGCGCGTCACGAAAGATGATCTGAAGACCATGACCGCTACCATTACCGAGGCCACCAGCTCTGGCGCCTTTTCTGCACAAGAATTCGCCGAAGAACTATTACCCGACTTGCATGAACAGCGCGGCATCGAGAAGACAACCGCACTCAGCAGCAGCACCGAGAAAATCATAACAACAACAATAACCACAGTGACAAAGGTGATCTCCAGCGATGGCAAAGAAATAGTCATGGAAGAAAAGACTGTCACCACCACAGACACCACTGAGCCGGATGGCGAAAAAGTAACTGTGACCACAACACGCACTACCAGCGAGAGCGACAAGAGCGACCACATACTGCCCAAGGAGGTAGCAATTCTGCGAGGCACCTACCGCTCTTCCACACCCGGGAGCGACGATGAACGCATGACCGGCGCCTACATGAGCGATGATGAGTTGCCCGCTTCACCACGCAGCATTGCATCCTCACACGGTGCCAGCTACGAATTGCAGCGCTCCAGCTCGGGTGTGAGTAAACGCTCCGACTTTGACGTAGACGACAGTCAAGATGACATACCACCACAATATGGCAGCGAAGAGCACTCAGCCGCGCGCGCAATTTCGTCCACAACCGCCAGCTGCCTGCAGAAAATTCCCGACCCGATGAGCACCTCATTCTATGGTGCGCTGCCTGATAGCTTTGACGCAAAGCCCACAGCACCTATACCAATCTGTGGCACCACGACGCATACGGTAACCACACGCACCTACGTTGCCGACTCACCTGCCAGCCAATCAACGGAAAGCTTTGAAAGCACTAGCCAGACTTCCGCCAGTCGTCAGATAATCAGCGGTGGTACACGCGCCAGTGTTGACAGTGGCGATCATAAATTCCTGGAAGAAGCCGATATGGATTTCGAGAAGGCGCTTGAGGAGCATGTACAAGTGCGCGGCGCTGATGTGATGTCTTCGGTGACTGCCAAGTACTCGTACTCACCCTCGAAAGCGGAAGAGGTGGAGCAAAGTGTTGCTAGCGTAGAAAAGCCTAAATTCCCGCTTGTGGATGTGCAGAAGACGCGCTTCACCGAGCCGGGCACAGCAGCGAGCAGCACCAGCAAAGTCGAAAGCGCAACAGAAAGTAAAGACAGCAAGACAACAATTACTACAACTACGACCACTACCAGCGTAAGCGCAGACAGCGCCAGTTCTATAGCTGCCAGCGAGACCACCACAACTACGACGACAACAACTACCGCTACCGGAGCACTGCCTAAAGACCCACTGAAGGAATGGGGTAAACCCCTAGGACTGCCATCACCTGCACCGCTGCCCGTCGAGGGTGATGTGCGCACCACACCGAAAAAGGAACGCCGGCTAGTGGCTACCAAAACCCGACTGAACAACGAAAAAAATCTGCGCAAACGTTCCGAATCGCCAAATAAGGCCAAGAAACCGGCCCCAGTGTATGTGGATCTCACCTACGTACCACACAATGGCAACTCCTACTACTCACACGTCGAATTCTTCAAGCGCGTGCGCGCGCGTTACTATGTCTTCTCGGGCACCGAGCCCAGCCGGCAGGTGTACGATGCACTGTTGGAGGCTAAGCAGACGTGGGAGGACAAAGAGTTGGGTAAGTTGCGCGGGCGTAAAGTAAATGAATTCGAGCTGATTTATTTTCTCTTATTTTCTGTTGCAGAGGTCACCATAATACCCACATACGACACCGATGTGCTCGGCTATTGGGTCGCCGAGAATGAGGAGCTTTTAGCCAAGTGTCGCATTGATTTGTCGCCTTCAGCATCGCGTTGCACAATTAACTTGCAGGATCACGAGACATCTTGTGCCGCCTACCGCTTAGAATTCTAGGCCACGGGGATGTTCATTTCATTCGCCGACGCCGAGAATCTCATACAACTCTACAATTAAAAGCTTAACACTCTACTAAACATAATATATTAAGTCACAAAAAAGTAATACTAACGAAAGGAAGCTTTTGACAACATCAATCGTGAAGCTTTTATGAATGAAATAAAATAAAATAAAATTAACAAAAAGCGAACAAGTAATAGCAACACATGAAAGCTCTTGCGGCAGAAACTTCGCTACGACGCTGGAAGTATGAAACTTCAGCAGGCGAAAGTTGGTTAGCTAGCAAAAGCTTTCACGCTTTAAAAGCCCACAACTCAGCGCTGGAAACAGGCATACCACACAACCAGCTTGACATACTTGAAAAATAATAATTAAAAAAAAAACTTGAAAAATTTAGAAAAACAAAAAAGAAAGGGATGTGAAAACTCAAAACTATGTAAGGCTGAAAGCTTGACAAAGCTTCGCGCTTATGTATGCAGCTTTGCAGCAGCTTTTTTGCGGCAATTGCGCTTGGAAAGACATGAGCAAAGGAATGGCGGTGTTTCTTGGTGTACTACACGAGATTTTGCAAAAAACAAAAATATAGTGTAGCGCCATTTTGTTTGCTATTGCCGCACATTGCTATGCGGAATGTCAAGAAAGGCGGAAGCTGAACATAAAATATAAATGCATTAAAAAAGAACAAATGAAATGCTTATAAACTTAATTATAGTAATTAAATGAATATTTGTTGAAAAAATTTAATTACACCAAAGAACTACGTACACACTCAGCATAAAGAATTATAACGCACTGCAGAAAAGTAAAATGAAAATAAAATTTACAGAAACAAAGCATTGCTAACGAGTGACAGAAAGCGAAGTAAAAAAGAAATAAAATATACGTAAATACATGTGGACCAATGCGATGAGAATTAAAAACAAAAAAAAAATAATAATTAAATTAATAAAAACTAGTTAAGTATATGCTCCCAAAATCTATTAGAAAAGAAATAAAATCACCAATAACTCAAACATACTAAATATAAATCAGGAATGAGTTGAAAACTTTCAAAAACATAAGAATCAACTCGATTAAGACAAAAAGCGTTTACCAAAGAAGTCAACAGACTTTGGAATTGGAAAAATAAACAAGAGATGATATAAATGGAGGCAAAAGATAATGAGAATTGAATTTCTGCTGAAAAAAAGTATTAACAAGGCCGAGTGCCTACAGGCCAGCACAGTATGCGAACACCGAAATGTAGCTAATGACTGAGGAATGAGACTTTCAATGCAATTTATAAAGCTTTTCCAAAAAGAAATTTAAAAAAATCATTATCTCTGTGCTACTTTAAACTAATCGATTTCGAAATAGAGCGCAATTTTTTGGGAATTCCGATTATATTAATAAGAAAATACCAACAAAAAATCTGTTATTCGGTATATTTTTATACTGATTTTCATGTTTTATTTCATGTACTTTAACTAAATAGAGCACTCGAGTAGAAATCGATTTTATGGGTTTTTGATATCATTAATTTTTTTTTATTTGCTAAAAAAATTTATTACAAACAGTTCACTCAAACAAAAAATTTTACCAAAAGTTAAAAACGATTTTTTTCTCTGCCGTAACACTTTTTCAATATTCTTTCAAACTGATTATATTTTTGATAAAAAAAAAATTGTATATGTACTTTTCAGAAAAATTTTTAAGTCTTATTCCATTAAGAAAAATTAAAACAAAATTTTTTTGTTCCTCAAATATTTATTAATAGAAGAACACAACATTTTCTACAAAAATGGAAGCAAAATTTCTAATAAAAACAAAAAAAACAAAAAACGGTTTTGCCGAAAAGTTATTTTGTTCACAAAAAATTAAAACTTCTTTACTTTTTTAAGTCTTTTCTCTTCCTATTTTAATTTTATTATGGAAAAAGTTCAGTAATATACATATTTACATAAATAGATTTGTATAAAAATACAATCCAAAGTTTTTTTCTAAAACAAAATTTAAATTCGTTTTAATTTTCTAGCAAAAATTGTTTGCCTACTGTTTTTTATATACATATGTACATATACTTTTCTAGACCATAATTTGTAAAATATTTCTTATTGACAGAAAATAAATACATAAATACACATATGCGTGTATACATAGATATTTTTTAAATTTTTGCTGACGCTATATAAAAAATTTGTTGCTAATTAAAAATGTGCGGAAATTCTGACTCCTCATGTCAAGTATAATACAGAAGGCCATTGATTTTTACCACGAATAACGTAGAACTAAACGAAATGAGCTTCAATCTTACCAGAGGTTTTTCAAAAGCAAAGAAAAAATATAGGAACATATTTATGAGGTTAAAAAGTATGGATGATGACTTAAAGAAAAACTATACTAATTAAATATAACAAAATAAATATATAATTATGAATATGAATAAAATATAATCAAAAATTTTCAACTGAAAATGAAACAATAAAAAATAACTAAATTAAAATAAACGTATTAAAAACATATAAAATTATAATCAAACTTAAAATAAAAGTGAATATAAAACAAAGAGAATGAAGTTGAAATTAAAATAAAAATAGAAATAAAAATAAAAAAGTAAATAATTAACAAATTAAAATTAAAAATATATAAAACAAAATTTAAAAAACATCAACGTAAACTAAAAAAAAGATATGAAAAAGTTAGCATTAATAATGAAAAAAATTTAATAAAAATAGAAATTTTAATTAAAACAAGCCTAATTAAGTTAAAAATAATGAAAAGAAAATACAAATTTATGCAAAGAAAATTAACGCAAAATAAAATTACAGAAAATTAAATAAAAATAATAATAATAAAAGTCAACATCAAAATTAAAATTTAAATAAAATTATAAACCTAAATGATATGAAAAAATGTGCTAAAATAAAAAAGGATAAATGAAAGCTTCAAAATAAATAAAACCACAATCACGAACGTATTACGACCAAAGATCTAATAATATGCTATGTATAAAATGTAAAAGACACTAAAATCGACCAAAAAGAATCAGAATCTGAAGTAAAAAAAGTAACATTTTCCAAAAAATTTACAGAAAACTGAGGAAAATTTTATATAATAACACACCCAAGTAATTTTTAAAAAGACAAGAAAAAATATATTTTTGTTCATTCCGAAATACAGTTTCAATTCCGAAATCAGAGTGTTAAACAAAAAGCTTTCGGCAGTATTCAAATATAAAAATTCCGGAGGATATTGTTAATAGAGATTGATGTTCTCAGCAAAAAATGATCACTAGCGATCATATAGATCACTGGCGATCATGTAAATGCTCTCAAATTGTCCAGAGCGACGAGCAAAACATGGCCCTTGCTATCGTCGCCTAGAGCAGTAACAATCAGCGAAAGTTTTTACTTTTTGCGCGTCCATATAAAATATATATGTATAAAGCTTTAAAAAGTTTTTTTCTGCCGGATATATTTTGCGTTTGAGTGTCCTTGCGCACAGCAAAAACAACAAAGTTCCAAAAAAAATAATCCATTTTCCCAAAAACAGTAAGGGAGTATTTATGGGTAAACTGTTCCTTATTACTAGCTTAATAAGGAGATGGACCAGTAAAAAAATAGAGGAGTTTGAATTTATTCCCTCTGATCATCGGAGTATTTATAAAACTTGCTTGTGCTCCAGATACTATGTCCTTCTGAGCTTTTACAGAAAGCCAATGTATTTAAAGTTCTATGTAGATTTAGTGTCTGATGCCAACGCAGTAGGCACCAAAACATATCGGGTGGGAGAAGCATTTAAAAGCTCTTTATAAATAGGTTTCATGTATTTGAATGCGCACAGAGTAAAAGCTCTCTCTGGTGGGCACTGTGCTAAAGCCAAGAGTGCCAATAGAATGTGTTTCCCACAAACACAAAAAAAAAATAATAAATAAAATTATCCAACACTCTCAAAATGATAACTAATATTTTTCCCCACGAAATCCATGATTGTTAATAGTAGTCAAAGAGTTGGGTATTAGCTGTTCCTCGAGTTGAAAAACCAAATTTTTCTGATACAACAAAACCTGCTCCCTTTGCGAATAGTTGGTTTAACCAATTTATAAAAAAGTGCAATCAATGAGCTTTGAACAGTTTAAATCGGATTGTATAAGGGCGGAGATTCCAATCCAAATAATTTTAGAACTGAATATCAACTTCTTATATCCGGTAACCTAAAGTTCTGTGGGAAAATTCAATGCAGATTAGCGAGCCTTTATTCTGAGCGCCCATATATGTACATAAAATCTAAACGAAGCTTTTAAAAGCTACTCCTTCGCTTCGTCTCCACCCGCTTATTGATAATTATGATTCAAAATCATACACTATATATCTCACTTAGTTTTCCATTCTGGGAATTCAGTTTGTTTACTTGGTTGAACTAGGTAATGGATTTTAAGGGCTGAAGTACCTATGTCAAAGTCTTAAAAGTTTCTTAATAAAAAAACAAAAAAACAATCTTGAACCTATTAATATCTAAAGAGAATACAGAGAATAATGAAGAATTAATTGAAATTACTAAGGTCAAACAAGAGAAGCATAAAAGAGAACATATAAATATCCAGCGATTAAATTTAAATCAAAAAATCGCAAAAGATAGCAAAAATCTTAAAGCAAAACGAAAAAGAACAAAAAATAATAATTAAATGTGCCTCCTATGAAGCAGATGGTAATGAAAAAAGTAGGTCATAAATACATACATATATGTATGTACCTATTGATATCGTATATATCTGTTATTTACTCACAGAACACAGACATAAATACGTACATATTAAAAAAATCTAAAAAATGTTAAGAGTAAGAGCTGTAATGTGAAAATAAAAAACAAAACGACAACACTGAAAAAACATAAAAAATGTATTTAATTATGTATGTATGTATATGTTACACGCAAACAAAAATCGCCTGCAAAAAAATTAAAGAATTAGTTTACCAAGGCAATTCCAACAAATATATCCAAAAAACAACAAAAACGTGAAGAAACGCTTAGCATTTAAATTTATTTTGCAAAGAAATCAAATATAAGCAAAAAATTATAAGAACTTAAAAAAAAAATAACTTATAAATAAAATATACACACA